ATAATCAAGTAAACACAAATACTTCTTGTCGCCTGTGGTATTACGGACAAACTAGAGACAATTATAAAGTGTGTGTATGTGTGTGAGAGAAATACCAAAATAGAATATTAAGGATACATAGTCTGTAATTTATAGGACAATATATCATTATTTTATTATTTCAAAAACTCAAGTGTCTAAATTGTTTCTAAAAACGCCTGCCCAGTGCACAAACCCTATAAACAGTCTCGTGATTCCTAACACTTGAAAATCACGAAACGTCTCAATATTGATAAACAATTATAGTTGCAGCGTTTTAAAACGTGAAAAATATATAACATATTGCATATTAAAATATGGTAGAAGAATTTTGTATTTTTTTTTATAGTAATGTTTATCACTGGGAATTATTGTTTATAGTTGTAAGTAAGAGAATCAATTCCTTTTATCGCTAAAATTCAATGCCAATCAACCCTTAACCGTCACGCATCAGCAGAGTTTTCAAAAGGACCACATGTTAAGTTGGGGTCATTGTGACCCACCGTGATAATTCAGAATTAATGAAGAAATGATATTAAGAAAAAATTGTTTTAGGAATGGTGCCAAGAATTAAAGATCTGGGGTCTTTAAGACCCCACAGCTAGTGTTGGAGTGTTAAATCAAGAAACGATGCTAGCTTTATGGACGATATTCATTTTCAAAGACCATTTGTGTGTTTTTTTTTATATTACACGATACGCTGTATCGATAAGAGGTAAATAATCTACATATACAACAAATTAGATATATTTATAAAACTTTATAATCTCAGCAAACACAATATTACGTGTGACGCACACATTAATTACCTGGGATTTTATATAACCCTGGTGTTAGATAAAGGAAGGCTGACATTGCAACTAACATGTGTGTCACTACTAACATAGTGTCTGCTGGGTTAGCTAATTATGAAATTAAGGGAAGTAATTACACAAAAGGAATCGGATGCGGATTACACGTATAAAATATATAAAGTAAAACATCAAAATGTTTTCAATTTCCTCCATTACACTTTAATATTCTTTTGAACCATTCATTTTCGACTTATCTTTATCCTTGTTTGAAATGTGTGACGTTTTCAGTGACGTTCTTTTACGTGATAATCGTATCCCTTTTGTCTTGAGTGCTGTGTGAATTAAATAATATATCACTAAATAATTATTATAAGAGCTGTGTTACTGCGTGGTGGTAGGTATAATGCTGCATTTTGACGTAAAATGGCTTCAGCAATACGAACCACAGAGCTCGGATTACATTGCAATAATATATTCTGAGGAATCATTGTTACCACTACGGCAGTTCACACGGAAACAATTCAGAAACCTATACTCCGCACTGACCGGCTATTCTACTACGAAATCGTCAAACAAATTGACGACTGTTCCTCTGAACCTGCATGACTTTTTCTCTTCTCCGGTGTTCACAGGTATATAGATTAAAGGTAAGTGAAGTTTTCAGGCGTTTACGATGCAACGATAAAAGAGAAGTTTCATAGATCTAGAAAGCGGCATCTTTATTCGCGGACGCAGCTGATTTCTCAGGCATTACCGATACGCCTCTTAATGTTAGCAAAGTCATCCAGAAAGGCTTCATCGAGGTCAATGAAGAAGGCAGCGAAACTGTTGCAGCTTCCGGTTTGTGATACTATGTTGGGATATAGACACCATTTTCCTCTATTCTTTTCTTCTTCTTTTTTTTTTTTCCTTATCGGATGTTCTATAATTCCCTTCCAACCTCCTCTTCAATGATCCACTTGGTTGACCAGCGTAGTTGTTTTCTTTATTTTTATTTTGTGGACTTCACGCATTTATGCCAAAGATCCGACACTAGGATTCGTGCCTTTACAGTGAAATTATCTTTGCTCTTTATCTTCTGTATTTCATTTCTATTTACTTATGGGAAAGACTCTAATGAAAGTGATGCAGTTTGAACATTTAGTAAGCAAACTTTCCTCGTCAGACCGGCCTCGGCAGACGCTGTTTACAAACCTGTGATTCAAGTAGATCGTCCATTCTTATATGCAATCGTAGACAGTCGTTATAAATCCATCCTGTTCTATGGTCGCATACAGGACCCAACGCTGTGATATTAATAAACTATTAAACTCAGCATCGATTTAGTTTTGTGACGATTCTTATTCCCTTTTTCATCATTTTTTTACGTTCTGAATGCAATTAAAATGGAAGAAAATGTTTGTTGTTTTACCTCAATTATAAACATGATTTTCAATTCCCAACTTTTCACAAATTACAAAATATTTAAAAAATATTACAAATATTTCGTTGCTATGGCAGCATCCTCGTTAGGTTCTGGTAAAATACTGTGCAAGATTTCATTGCAATATTCTAATTTGACCTCTTTCGAATATTGTTGGAAACGAAAAAGTTATAGATCATGTCGAAATTATTTTGGAAGATTCTCGTGCAAGTGTTCTATTGCAAATATTTATAGAAAGATTTCGTAATATTGTTTTTCAATTATTTCTTTACGAATAACTCCGGAAATATTTTATAAGATGATCCTTAGAATATGATGCTATTAATTACTTAAGTATTTCTCAATGTTTCGAATTAAATATTTTCCTATAAACTTTCCAAGAAGTTACGACAGATTTTCATGACATAACGGTACTCCGATTTACACGCCATACCGCATTTAGTAAGAGCATTAATTAATTTCTTAAGATACGCAAACAATTAAAGATGTTTCAATGAAAAATTCAAAATAACCAACAGCTAATCATCTTCAACGAATTACAGTATCATTATCGAATTACATAATACGAAATAATGTAATTTAAATTGATGCATGTTATGGAAAGTAAACAGCTTGATTCTTGAAACATTACACTGCATGTACAAATAGAAATCGAAATACCAAAAAACAT